TTAAATATCCTTTAAAATGTTTGTTATTTCATCATTATATCTCAAATCGTTTTTGAGATAGCTCTTATACTCTACCACACCAATTCTCAAATCTCATTACACAATTGAATTTTATGAAAACTTTTATGAATTTTTAGAACGGTATTTAAATTGCCTGTTCGCGATTAAATCTTTTCAAGGTCGGCGAGTTCGTATAGTTTTGTTTCTTCTTGGACGCCCATTAAAAAGAACAAAAAGAACGTTGAGCATCTTTCGTCTCGGGGTTCTTCGCATTTTAAAAGAAAGGTAAAAGACTGTAACTTCTGGTCTGTTTACATAAGGTTGTCAGAAAGCGGACCCGCCTCCCCATAGCGTGATGATAAATCGCTTTCCTGATGAATATGCAATGGCATAACAAATTTCAATAAAAACAAGACGTGATTTATTATTGATTTAAGGACGTTATTGGGTCGAATAAGATTAAATGAATAAAAAAAATTAATTAATAAAAACGGGTGGCTGTTAGTAAGCTTAACCAGGTACTTATTAGTAATATAAGGGACTCTTAATTGCGGTCCATAACGTTAGAGTCTCAATTTCGTCAAATTTTAATTTCACCTTAATCGGATCTTGTTACGTTTTATCTTTTTCTATTCTTTGTGTGTTTTATTTTCGTCGCGTTCACGTGTCCGTGCCACTTCTATTAATCATCCACCTTATATGGCTTAAAGTTTTGGGTTACACGCTATGCTTTCCGTCGTTATCATTACCTGGAATCTGTGAACGGCTTTTAAGTTGACCTCTTTTTTTACTTGGATTTTTTGTTTTAATTCTTTCGTCTCGTCTTGAAAATTACGATCAGTTAATCGCTTGATTAACTTTGAGAGGTATTACACCGATGTATAACACTGAACGAATTTCTTTTTGCTCCAACAATTTTTTTTTGATGTAAAATAATACTGACTTGTCGAATTTAATTTGTATTAAACATTTATGTTTTTATTTTTAATGCTTTCGGTATTAAATAACTTTTTTTTGGTTTTATAAATTCTTGGAAGTAATTTGCCTGTTATCATGAGTATGGTGGAGTGGTCCGAAGGGCATGTTTAAAATTTCAATTAAAATCCGTCGAGTTGCTCCTTCGTATCCGATGTTTCATACCGCATTCCCGTCCTTTTTCAGGACAAGGCACTCACACACACGCGTGATCTCCTCGCACGGGTCCTTCTTTAATGCCGGACGATGTAATTGACCGTATTTCGTTAGCACCAGGCCCCGACGGGCTCAATTTATACCCGACGTTCTGAATAATTGAATTTTAAGGACACGTTTGCATGCGATAATGTTGCGATGATTACCATTCGTTAAGTTATCTTTTAAAAATATATACTTAAGGTCTCGTTTAGGTGATCCAAAAATGTGAGATTAAAGTAAAAAAATGCTTAATACTTTAAGGGTATCTTAATTGTTGAAAATCCGGTCGCAACCTCGCTTCAAAGTCTTATCTTATCAAAAACCGTGAAGATGTTCACCCCAAGTACAACGCCATATAATTTCACATCGTCTCATATAGTCTCTTAGGAATTTTAATTTATACGTAGCGCTATTTTACAGTCAGTTGAGGGAAGTAAAACTTTATAGCGCTATTAAAGTCTGGGCTAATACAGATAATAATTTTTATATATATATATATATATTTCTTATAAAAGCTGCTTGAGCCATTATAAACAATACATAACCGTAAGGGGCGTGTCGAATGATTTCCTGTCGAAAACCCAAAGCGTTTACATCATCATAATCGCCCACGTATCGGGGTACCATAACTCAACAACCACTAAACGGCGAGTAGCTAATAACTGTAATCTTTCTTTAACTATTGTTTGTTTAACCACCTCAATATGAATTATGAACTGTTGACAGCTCAGTCCAACCCATGATACGAGAGAAAACACTTAGATTGCAAATCTTATTACATCTTATAATGCAACGAAAATAACCGAACTAAAAATTTTAATTCTTTTTAATCTTTTAAGGTTGGAAATACTTCTTGTAATAGACGCGGTGTCATTATAGTGATTATAACGGGCTCGTTTTGGTTAACTGATTTATAATTGCACGTTTTTAAGTGATGGGTTAAAGTTAAGTGACCGTGAATTTTGTGTATCATTATTTTAACGTTAAGGTTAACACCCGAAAGAAACCTATTTTACTTAGCTCTAAAGAACTCTGAGACGTCTAAACTCGAATGTTTCTGGTTCTAGGTCTAATATTAATTCTACTTTTAGTGCAATACAAATATACAACAATCTAGTGTTGAATAACAATTAAAACTAGAACTAACACTATACCTAGAACTAGAATCATTTGGGTTTAGCCGCACGTCTCTGAAGATACACTCTACATAGTAACAGTGCTAGTGTAAAACTAGAACTAACACTATACCTAGAACTAGAATCATTTGGGTTTAGCCGCACGTCTCTAAAGACGGCTAAACCCGAAACTTTCTAGTTCTAGGTCTAGTGTTCGTTCTAGTTTTAGTTCAATAAAAATATGCAACATGGTAATATCGGTACGTTGAATCCTCGTTAAATTTCCTTTAAAATGTTTGTTATTTCATCATTATATCTCAAATCGTCCTTGAGATACGATTCTTTAAAGATTTGTTATTGAAATCAACATAATCAAATGTATAGAATTGGGTTTAAAAAATCATAACAATGTGGTTTATGAAAAACAAGAAATAATTTTTGGCACATTCAATCCTCGTTAAATTTGCTTTAAAATGTTTGTTATTTCATCATTATATCTCAAATCGTTCTTGAGATACGTTTCTTTAAAGATTTGTTATTAAAATCAAAATAATCAAATGCGCAGAATTGGGTTCAAANAAAGCTACTGCCCTCTAAAATAAAACATCAATGTTATTCCCCATCGTTATAGATCTAAATCGTCATATTAATTATGATTTGGTATGTTTAAATCATAATTTTGGCTAAATAAGCAATTTAATAAGAGAGGTATAGGCAACCAATTATACACATTCTTTTTAATTCAATCAGTATACTAAAAAACTTAATTTTTCAAAACAATTCAGACGCATCATCACTATCTTAACACACATCTTCAAGCACATCCGTTTTTTCAATAAATCTAAACCATATTTGCTTTTTAAACAAATCAAATAAATGTCAAATAAAACGTCAAAAATAAATATTTAAAGAATCCTATCTAAAGAACGATTTGAGATATAATGATGAAATAACAAACATTTTAAAGCAAATTTAACGAGGATTGAATGTGCCAAAAATTATTTCTTGTCTTCCATAAATCAAATTGTTATGATTTTTTAAATCCAATTATGTTCATTTGGTTATTTTGATTTTAATAACAAATCTTTAGAGAATCGTATCTCTAAAACGATTTGAGATATAATGATGAAATATCAAACATTTTAACGCAAATTTAGCGAGGATTGAATGTGCCAAAAATTATTTCTTGTTTTCCATAAACCAAATTGTTATGATTTTTTAAATCCAATTATGCTCATTTGGTTATTTTGATTTTAATACAAATCTTTAGAGAATCGTATCTCTAGAACGATTTGAGATATAATGATGAAATAACAAACATTTTAAAGCAAATTTAACAAAGATTCAACGTGCCAAAAATAATTTCTTATTTTTGATAAACCAAGTTGGTATGATTTTTTAAGCCCAATTCTGTGCATTTGATTATTTTGATTTTAATAATAAATATTTAAAGAATCGTATCTCAAGAACGATTTGAGATATAATGATGAAATAAAAAACATTTTAAAGCAAATTTAACGAGGATTGAATGTGCTAAAAATAATTTTTTATTTTTTATAACCCAAGTTGTGATGATTTTTTAAACCCAATTCTGCTCATTTAATTATGTTGATTTTAATAATAAATCTTTAGAAAATCATATCTCAAGAATGATTTGAGATATAATGATGAAATAACCAACATTTTAACGCAAATTTAGCAAGGATTTAACGTGCCAAAAATAATTTCTTATTTTTCATAAATCAAGTTGTGATGATGTTTTAAACCAAATTCTGTACATTTGATTATGTTGATTTTAATAATAAATATTTAAAGAGTCGTATCTCAAGAACGATTTGAGATATAATGATGAAATAACAAACATTTTAAAGGAAATTTAACGAGGATTTAACTTGCCAAAAATAATTCCTTATTTTTCATAAACAACGTTGTTATGATTTTTTAAACCCAATTTTGCGCATTTGATTATTTTGATTTTAATAACAAATCTTTAGAGAATCATATCTCAAAAACGATTTGAGATATTATAATGAAATAACAAACATTTTAAAGCAAATTTAACGAAGATTGAAGGTTCCAAAAATATTTCTTATATATTAATCCATAAACCAAGTTGTTATGATTTTTTAAACCCAATTCTGTCCATTTCATTATGTTGATTTTAATAATAAATATTTAAAGAATCGTATCTTAAGAACGATTTGAGATATAATGATGTATTAACAAACATTTTAAAGCAAATTTGACGAGGATTTAACGTGCCAAAAATAATTTCTTATTTTCTATAAACCAAGTTGTTATGATTTTTTAACGTCGTTCATACAGCTAAGGAATTTGAAGTACGACAATGTTTATTTATTGCACCAATTAGACACTTTATCATAATAATCATTTATAATAATCATAAGTTATGATTTAAATCATAATTTTGGCCATAACAAAAGTATAGGCAACCAATTATACACATTCTTTTTAATTCAATCAGTGTACTAAAAAACTTAATTTTTTAAAACAATCCAGACGCATCATCATTATCTTAACACACATCTTCAAGCACATCAGTTTTCTCAATAAATCTGAACTATATTTGCTTTTTAAATGAATCAAATAAACGTCAAATAAAACGTCAAAAACTAAAAATGAGATATTCATAATGCTTTAGAAATCATCAGTTGTAAACACGTTTAATAAATCGAAAAAATAGAGTTTTTATCAAAATTCGCTCACCTCTGTATCGATCTTCTTAAATTCCTCATCTTCCTCGTCGACTTCGAAATAAATCTCTGAAGAAGTAATTGAGACCATTCCATGGGCAACAATTCCAGGTGCGATTAATTTGGCTTTTGTGCTGATGTTGACTGGACCTAATTATCGAATAAAGAAGAATATACATAAAATAATTTAATACTCAAAGAAACAAACCTGTTGTATCACTATCTAAATCCCTATCATCCATTAATAATTCGTTATCATCCATTAAATCGGTCGATTGCATCTGTTGTTGATTTCTATTTGCCGCTAATTGAGCGTGAATTTCTTCGCGAGCTTGTAAAATAGCGTCTTCAGGACCTCCGTGTTCTAAAGCAGCTTTTAATGTGGCTTCAGGATGACTGGAACCGAGTGGGTTGTGCACGAAACGTTTTCTTCTACGAGCGTCGTCTTCCCAAGCGTCTAATTTCCAAAACTCGTTTAATCTGAATTTAAAAATCATGTTAAATAAAATTAAATAAAAAAAAATTAAATTTATTACTTAGCCATTTGTGGGTCCGTATATCCCCAAGCTCCATGTTTATTCGACATGATATTTCTAACTTTTTCTAATAATCTACTAGCAATAACATTATCGCGCCTTCTAGCTGCTGTAATAAGATGATCACACATTCGTTCCTCTTCTTTTCTATCTAATAAAGTTTGGGCACATTGTGACTCGAAATCGGCGTGTTTTAAAACATCATCAGCTCGCATTCTATTTAAAATAAACTCAGCTTCATTAGCTACACGCACAATATGATCTTTCATCGCATGCGAAAGTAATCTACCTTCGTTAATTAATTCGATAAAAGCTAAACCGGCATGTTTTTGTAACGAATTTTGCCACTCTTGTGAACATAATAACATGACCAATTCAACGACAGAATTGCTGTTTTTAAATGTGGTCAATCCTTTACCTTCCATCAATAACTCTTGACCATGCGATCCAACCAAAGTTTTTGAAAGAAACGGTGCGAAATCGATCATAATTTCGCGTAATAATGGGCAAACTGATCCTAGTGCCATTTCAAGTTTTTGGGTTAAAGAAGCTTCGCGTGAAGGTGTAGGAATTGAGATATGATCGACCAAATTGTTTACTGGAAGATCATCGGGTCTGATTTGAGCAGGAGCTTGAATCATGCTATCAGGAACTCTTACAACGGAAATTTCTGAATATTGTTTTTCGCCGCGTTCTTGTATATTCCCTTCGATATCGACTGAGTGAGACATGTTTTGTAAATTTAATGAATCCTCTTTTGAAATAACATCACCGTCTTCGTTCAAATTAATATCAGTCCAATTTTCATCGTTTGTCAAAATCTTGTTATCTTCGATTATATCGGAACCATCAACGTTATTTGTTCCTGATGAGTTAACAGAATTGATTTCTTCTACTGAATCCATACTCTAAGGGGAAATTAATTAATTAATTTTTGTTATTTAAATTTCTTTTTTGATTGTTAAGTAAAGGTTGTTATAAATGCATGCACTATATACAACAAGACTCATTATCATTACCTTTTTAACACCATCTCTTGCATGAGCATGCTTCATCCCATCCACAGAGTAATCTACAGTGTACCCATGTCCAATAGAAGGCCGTTGCCGCGTGCTAACCTGTTATAAAGGCGCAACACAGCAAAAGCAATTTGTTAGTTTGAGTAGTTAAGAAGAAAAGTGATTAAACGGAAAAGAATTGAAATTAAAATCAGGCATTATTAGTTTTTTGTTTAAGATAACATGCAAAAGTATTTTATACACAAACCAATGATAAAAAAATGTTTTTGTTGGCCTATTAATTGTAACTAATTAGTGCGTTAATGATCAAAATCTCCAAAATACATTACATTAAGTGAAAATATTAAATGTTATTAACCAAATTGTACTTACTTTGATTGATGGTGGTCCAGAACGGATGTCGTGATCTCTCACCGAATTATCATCCATAACATAAGCGGTAATCACGTCATAATCGGCTTCCTCTTGATTCGTTTGGCTGTGAATCGCTCTTGAAGCTATAATTAATTTTTATTGTCATCATTTAGTTGTTTTAAAATGAGTTGTCGAAAGTTCATGCTAAAATTATCATGCTTATAGCAAAAAAGTAAATAAATTGAGATTCAATTTTATATTATATACAGGGAATTTCGCTTAAGATGCAATGTACAATATTTCCATAGAAACCACTTACTTTGTCTCATATAAAATGCAACATTTCAATACATGTTTGAAAATGTATGGCTAAACCCGATACTACTTTCTAGGTCTAGTGTTAATTCTAGTTTTGCACTAACACTATTACTAGAACTAACACAAGACCTAGAACTAGAATCATTCGGGTTTAGCTATGCGTCTCTTAAGACTTCGAGAAACGAGTTGAATGATTTGATTAAGCTTCATAAGCCAGATCAAAGTATAAGACCAATTATAGGCAACAACTGCACCCCCATTAGTAAATTAGCAAAGATACTCCAAACTTATCTGTTCAAAACTTTTCAAAATCACTTCATATACAATATCAAAAACTCAACGGAACTTATGAAGGGTTTATACAGAATTTAGCTGTAAATTTAAATTTAAAGATTTAGATATTAATAAGACAAAAAATTTAAAAATTTAAAAAATTATAAATTTATCTCTTTCTACATCAAAAACCTCTATACTAATAATCAAAGAACATTTAATTCACAATAGTAAAGAACTTGAATTCAACACCAATGAAATAAACTGCTTTTCTAAACTATTAGAAATTATAGTTCTTTGACTTATATTAGTTCTAGTGACAGTGCTAGGTAGCGCTAGATAGCATTAGATATCACTGTGTTGCATATTTTTATTGGACGAAAAGTAGAATTAACACTAGACCTAGAACTAGAAACATTAGAGTTTAGCTGTGCGTCTCTCAAGACGGCCGAAAACTTTCTCCAAGCTAAACTTTCATTATGCAAAACTACCCAGTACTATTAAGCTATAGTTCGTTTTCTATAATACTTGTTAAGGTAAATTTTTTAGGGTTTCTGTTGGTATTACCTACGAAATTCATAAAATTTATGTTATTTTCCTGATTTTTAGTAACATTTTCAGTAACTAAATAATTGAGGTTAAGATACTAATACATTTTTAGATAAATTCGACTTTAATAAAGTACATATCTGTTGTAAAAACGTGCTACAAAGTAATTAAATAGAACAAAACACCTTTTCTAGGTAAATAAATGGTAAATAAACATCCCACAAGATTTTTTATGCACCTTTTCTTTTTGAATAACGAAAGCTCAAACGTCAATGTGACATATTTATTTCAAAACATGATAAAACAAAACTTCCTGTTAATTTTGCCAACTTGACAACAATTTGACAGGTATTATAGCAAAAAAATGAACTATACATTTTTTGATAAATACGATTTTAACGAAGTACTACAAAGTAATGAAATACAATAAAGACACCTTTTTTAGGTAAACAAATGGCAAATAAAACCCCCCATTTTTTTAGCATCATATTTATGTTTATTCTGCTGTATAATTTAACAAAGCTGTACGTTACTGACACAATTTTCTCTTAGAATGACATCGTTGATATTTTTATTATAATAGGTCTTGCAATAGGTCCAAACTAGTTCAATTGCATTATGCTGACAATGATAAGGAGCAAGTCGCAACACTTCAATCAATATTATTCTGCAGAAGAAAACATATCTTTTTGTATTTTGCTGCAAAATTGGCACATCTTTTCCTAAAGATGAGTTTTTGTTACGTGTTCATTAACATTTCGATTATGTTCGATTAAAAATTGGATTCAAACACTTTTCTTTGATGATCGCGTGGATGTTTTTTCACTACAGTTTTGCCAGATAAGTTATGCACTGCTAGAATTAGATTTTTGTTGACCCAGTTGTAAAAGATTTGGAAATTCATCGTCTTGTGGTAATCTTTGGCAGTATTCTTGCTATTAAAAAGTAACAAGCAATTTTCTAAAAAGCCACCTTTATAACCTAGATGTAGTACAGTAAACCCGTCTCCTTCACTTTTTATTTTAATATTAATCGAACATCGTCATAATCATCGTCTTTTACCCATCTACGCAATTCAGAACAATTCTTATTCCTTCTTTTCAGTTTTTAAATAAGGAAAGCTCAAATAAACGTCAATGTGACACATTTATTTCAAAACATGATAAAACAAAACTCCCTGTTAATTTTGCCAACTTTACAACAATACCTGTCAAATACCTGTCAATATTATAGAAAAAAAAACGAACTGTATGTTGCATTTTATGTAGGACAATGGACTATGATTAATGTATTCATACAGGGTGTGTCAAATGTCTGGAATATAGCCAATAACTTCTCCATTTGTGGTTTTAGAGAAAAATGTTTCAAATACAAATTTCTTTATTAATCATGACGCATTTTTTGGCGATATTTGCTTGTTTGTATTGTTTTTGTTTCGTTGCTATGGCAACCAACATTGTTATTTTAAATGGGATGCTTATATTTTTTTTTGCATACTTTGATAGAGGATAAATCCCTCTATGCAATGAACATATCAAATCATATGGTTGTATAAGAAAAAAATCGAGAAAAAATGCGTTTTTTTAATGTCTTAAATCAGCTAATAACAATCAAAAATTTTTTTTAATGTTTTGGATACTGTGGATTGTGTAATTTGTGTATCCGGATGAATATTATTGAACAGTGTACAGGGTGGTTCAAATTCAATATCCAAATAGGCTATCTCTGTTAGAAAAAAAGCTATCATGTTTTGTTTTTCCCCTAGAGGCCAACATTGAAAATATCGTAAAACCATTAAGTGCAATTATCTTGGTTATTATTATAGGTGGAGTATTATAACTACGACATTATATGGATACTTTTTTTACAGAGAATTTGATGACGTAGCCAAAAAAATTTTTTCGGTTTTAGATTTTGAGATATTATGACAATTTTCGATTTTTTTTTAAATGGAAATAACCTCTGATTATTCACTTATTAAATTCGTTATTTTTTTCTGATTACAAAAATATGGCGTTAGATAGGTCTATTTCTTATTGTTTTAAAATAAAGTTAAAAATAAACTTTTTTTAGCGTCGTCAAAGAAATTAAATTTACAGTTTCCTGTAAATTATAACTAAAAATTAAAAAAACATATTTCTGATATTTGAAGCAAATACATTTGTTGAACTATTTAATTTCTATTTGTTTTACACAAAAGTTGGAATAGATTGCATTATTTCACATTTTTTATTAATATTTAACATTATTATTAAATGACTTAATAAATTATTGATAGATGGCGGTTTGACAGCTTGTCAGTGCATGTTACCATTTATTTCTAAAAATAATGCCGTCTTGTTGACTATGGAGTTGCAAAAATTGCAGTAAGATGGGCTTTTAACTCTTCGGAGTACCACGAGAAAAAAAAAGAAAGGAAATTTACAGTAATTTTATCAACAGAACGACGTAGTTTTAAATTTCCCGCTTGACTTTCGAGCCAAAATGGCGGCAAACCGCGGCACTATTTATTTAATTCAAATAAACATAGCAACATTTGTTTGTATTCAAAAATTTTTTGAAGTGTTAAATTAAAAATCCTGTTTTTTAAGATACATTATGAAAATTACGAAAAGTTAAGTAAATTTTATATTAATTTTTAGTTATAGTACCGTAATTTACAGGAAACTGTAAATTTAATTGCTTTGATGACACTAAAAAAAAGTTTATTTTTAGCTTTATTCTAAAACAATAAGAAATATATTAATATTTGGATTCTTTGTCGTTCGCTTAATTGCGTCATATTTGTTTAAATTGTCAATTTTTTGACATTTAAAGCTGCCAACGGCGTTATTTCGGCGCCTACTTTGATTGTAATTTGCTGCTTTAATATTTTCAGAGAACGCATTTTTTCTCGACTTCTTTCTAATACAACCAATTTAACAATTTATCCTCTATTAAAACGTGCAAAAAAAAACATTTAAAATAACAATGTTGGTTGCCATAGCAACGAAACAAAGAACAATGTAAACAAGCAAGTATCGCCAAAAAATTCGCCACTATTAATAAAGAATTTTTCATTTGAAACACAAATGGCGAAGTTATTGGCTATATTCCAGACATTTGACACACCCTGTATATATATTGCGAGTTATATGAAATTCCCGGTATACAATGTTTAATTAATACATAAAAATGGGCGATTCAAAAATAATTGTAATCATGCTTTGTATTTTTTCTAATAAAGTTAAAAAATTAACCCTTTGCATTCTAGGCATCGTGCCCATATTTGAGATGATTCCTAAAAAGAACCAGAATTCTTTCTTATTTGTATTTCGCCATGTGTGTCATATAGAATTTTTGATTCGAATTTTATCCCTCAGTTTGCTTTTAGTATACAGGGTGATTTGTTATCTCACCATCAAACTTTGACATATGATAGCTAAGGGTGCGCACCCTAATCCAATTACCAAAAAAAAAATTTTTAATGAACATACAGTGTGGCCCATTTGAAAGCGGAGCACCCTCGTAAAATTTGTGCAAAAAAGATTCGAACTGATGGTAATTTAGCAACGGGACTATACAGGGTGAGTTTTTTTCCATGTTTAGTATAGAGTTCTTGAAAACTAGCGGAGATAGAAACACGATTAAATAGGGAAAGAATTGCAGTACGAAATCATGGAAACTTACGTTTACAAACGTATCTATCAATTGTTTCCATAGCATACTACCTGAACAGTTTGCAAATTAAAAGAATAAATGGCTATAATTTATTTGTTAATAAAAATATCCATGTCAAGTGGTATAACATTAGAATCGTTGAGAAAAGGCCTTTTTTATAAAGTCATGGCCAACTATGGTTTCCATTAGAAAAATTACAAGTTTGTGTCATAACTCAAAAATTACTGCTTAAATAAAAAAATCAGTTAGACTGCTTTATTAAACATGTAATACCCTACAAATTTTTCCTAAAATCAATAATAGCGGAGCCATAGGTATTTAACGATATAGCAAAAAAACGGGTTTTTCGAGATATCTAGTTAGCCACGCATTTCATCCAAAAAACAAAAAGCTCATTAAATTGAGTTCATGAAACTGCAATTCTTTCCCTATTTAATCGTCTCTCTATCTTCGCTAGTTTTCGAGATCTCCATACTAACTCACCCTGTATATGTCATGATTGTAGATACTAGATTGTTGAAACCCTTTGGCTACCAAACGAGCCTTATAAGTTTTCACATTTCCCTTTTCATCTTTCTTTTGTTTAAAAACTCATTTACATTGAATGGCTTTTATTTCCTTTTTACACTCTGTGATCCAAGTTTCATTTCCTTCCAATGCTTTAATTTCAGCTTCCATTGCTTTTTTCCACATTTCACAGTCGTTACTTGTTATCGCGTCGTCATAGCACATTACTTCAACATCGTCATCGCTCATTGATACCAAAATTTTGTTCATGTCTAGTTCATAGTCATTGTATCTTGTGTTTCTTTTCCTTTCTCAAGTGGATCATTATCATTTTTTCTGAAAGTTTTTCGCCAGTGGTTTTTAATTTTGCTTCACCGTACGGTCGAATTCAAGCATGAAGAATCTTTGCTGTAGGAAATGTAAACTTCAACATAATCGCATGCGGATTTTGTAATGCCCAGATATATTCATTATGGTAATTATTTATGCCATCTTGTGTACAACATGATTCATCTGTCCAGAGAACATTTGATTTGAAGTCATTATTTTGGGCATGTTGCTGCAATAACCATTCACAAAATGCTAACCGTTGCTGATTATCTCATGGCTGTAGAGCTTGAACATTCTGTTTACGATACGGATGAAGGATTTCGCGGTTCAATACACGCCATGCAAAATTTTGACTTACATGTATGTTGTGTGCTATTCTTCGAGTGCTGATGGAAGGAAGGGCTTCTTCGTCCTCTACATTAACTACATGCAGTTGAATAGCTTTTGCTGGAGCAGGATTACCTGTTTCTCGAAGTCTTCTAAAAGAATCGCTAAAAACTGAGTAATATGGCAAATGACGCTGTGGAAATCTTTCTTGATATTCTCGTACTGATTTCCATTGCAAAAACCATACACGAAAATTATATCAGCATACTCTTCAGTGCCATAAGCGTACATTTTGAGTTTCTTCTTGTATGTAATAATTAAACCTTACAGCAAACATATGACATATAATGACAACTTTGATCCTTTGTTGAATATTTGATTTTATTGACTATTAATAAATGTTCATTAACATTTTTTTTTGTAATTGGATTAGCTATAATATGTCAAAATTTGATGGTGAGCTAATAAATCACCCTGTATTTAGGTCGAGGTACAAAAATTAATATCATTAATATCATATGAACCCCAAACTGATTAATACAGTTGATATTAATGATATTAATTGTAGAGTCTCGGTCGCAAACGACCTTGACGTGTAATAACGGAGTGTAAAGGGTTAACTTTATTAATATTAATTGAACGATAATCATTGCGAAAGGACAAAGAAAAATAAAATATTTTTAAAAAAATGTTTGATACAAATATTTAAAAAAAGTGTTTTGCAGTGCAATTTCTTTAAAATAAACCAAACAAGTTCTAAACAACGAAAAATAAAAAACATGTCCTAAAAAGTTGGTTTCCTCTGAATTACCTGGATGGCTACCGGTCGAATTTCTATGATATCGGTGGTCGATCTTATGGTTATGGTGGTGGGAATGGTGGTTATTATTAATGTTATGGTTATAGTGGTGTTTAACGTAGGAGTGGTGACGGTGTCGGACGTAATTGTGATGGGGCGCAGCATTGGGATGGGATCCGGGTAAAAATTGTGGGTAAACGTGATGCGACCACTGGGGGAATAAAGGTCTCGCACTGCCCTCTGTTAATTCCACAGAAAAGAATTTTTGGTTAGACAGAAAGAGTTTCATTTAAGGATGGGGAAATGTGTTAAAAAAATTGATTTAATTCCTTTTAACACATTTTGTGCTTCGTGGAAAGCGTGATTAGTGAATTCGCTGGTGATTTTTTTTTAATTGAAATCATTTAATGGTTTTTAATGAATTAAAAAAAAATCTGCAATAAAAGTATAATCAAAAAATTTACCTTGCGGACTTCCGGAATGATGCGAACTAGTGCTATTTCGAATCGTTGGTACCGGACTTGGTGGCCTCATTGAAACTGGAGGTTCCAAAATATCTCGGTATTTCGACACCATTAAAACCGAGATGAAATAAACGATCGCCAACGATAAAAATTGAGCTTGCTTCGTTTCCTCCTGTAATTAAAACGAGTTAGAGAGTTCGATCGGATTTTTTAAGTGATAAAATGCCTGGATAAACGTTCTCACCACGTCTCTGTAGATGACCGCTCTTAAACGATTCACGTCCATATCTTGAAGAAGTTTTTCCGGATCTTTTACAGGACTCGAAGAATTTGAGATATTTTCAGCTACGCTCTAATAAATTAAAAGCAAATTGATTTAGTTTTGTTGAATTAATTTTGATTTAGCTACAAACCTTAGGTGAGTTTTGAACGCCTCTTATAAAACTCTGTAAATGTGCGGATTTGTGAGATGCGTTCAATGGAGGCGGTGCGAGTGAATTAATCGGCCGACTGCGTTCTTTACACTCCAGGCAATTGCGGACTGCACAAGTGCATACCTATTTTTTTTTTTTAAGACAAGACATTTTTGTGAAACAATAAACAAAAAAAAAATAAACAAATAAACACAAAAACTCACCAATCTTAAACATTGCCTTAATATCCCACCACTTGACATATTCTTTTCGGCTTCTAATTCCCCGAAATTTAAAGAACTAGCAAAAATAAGCACATCAGCCATATTAACGAGTCTCTGTAAGAAAGAAACCGCAACTTCTATCGGCATTCCTTGCGTTGGCTCAATAACATCTAATTCGCTCTAAAAATATAAAAATTTTTCAAAAAAAAATTCTAAATGAATTAAAATTTTTTACATTTGGTGAAGTAGCCGATGCTAAAAGTGGTAATAACCCTCCGCACGCAATAATTAAATTATCGGCTAATTGGGAGATTAAATGAACGGTATTTACGACGAATATCCCATTTTCGCTGCTATTCACAAAATCTAAAACTGATTTAGTCGAGTGACTCCTCCAAACTTGAATGTCCGTTTCGAGGGAAAATAAAACGTCGGATAGTAAACGCTGGTGGATGTAAGACCATTTAAATTCGGGTATTCTAAACGGTGGTCTCGTCGGACCGGGACTAAACATTGGTCTTGTTGAAGCCGATCCAGATTTTGAGCGTTTTGACTCAGCTGAAATTAATAACACAGTAACAACGTTCAAACGACAAAACAAAGTTACGCTTTCTTTAATAGAACACCCTGTATATATTTTCATATTTCGGTTTATCTCGAAATTCTAATCAAACTTCATGTAGTACATCATAAACCTAAACTTAACCGTTTTCGAGGTATTGAAATCAATCTCTATCATAGAATAAATTAAAAACAAAATTAATTAAAAAAAATTGATTTAAATAGAATTGAATTCTTGATGAGATTTCCTTTAAAACGGTACAAACACGACATATTTATCTTTAAAAATAACCGAGATGTGCAACTTCCGGTTAATGACGCGATCTTTATGCATTCTTAATAATCATACAAAATCGTTTAAAACGAGTCCAAACTCGATGGGGTTATCTCAAAAAACGACGAAGATACAACAAAAATTAATAAATTTGAGGTTATGTTTAACGTTAAAAATGTTAATATCTCGGGTGTTTTTTGAGATAACCCCATCGAGTTTGCACTCGTTTGAAAGGATTTTTAATTTTCTTTGGGATTTTTATGAAATTAAAAGATTTTGGGTTTTTTGATTATCGAATTAATTTTTTAATTTATCAAAAAATTTAGTAGGAATTATTTTTAATCGATTTAAAATTAAAATCCGAGTAATTTAAGTCCAAACACGATAGGTCTATCTCAATTAATCTCGGAGATATGTAAAATTAAAAAAAAAATAATATCCAAGATGGCGGCTGTCAATGTCATCTTTAACGTTATGTTATTTAATCCAAAATATAGATTGTTGGGTATCAAATTAAAGAATGTTTGTGATTTTTAACAAAATTTAAGGTGAATGAAGAATTAAAAAAAAATAATAAACTTAAAGATGGCGACTGTCAATGTCATTTTTGGCATTATGTTGTTTAATCCAAAATATGGGTTGTTGGGTATCAAATTAAAGCATTTTTGATTGTTTTTGAGATTTTTATCAAATTTGAAGGTATAATAAAGAAAATTTTCTTAATAAAAAAAATTTGTTATTAATTTTTTAATAGTTTAAAATCGTTTCTAACCAATTGCATCGTAAAGGGAATTAAAAATCCTTTAAAATGAATCCAAACTCGACACATTTACGAAAATATTGAACTTACGTCAAGAAAAACAAAATGGCGGGTTTTTTTGTTGAATTCTTAACCTAAGATTTTATCTTTTAACCTAAATAGGTCATGTTTGGTATCAAATTAAAAGATTTTTGATTCTTATTACGATCATTTCAAGTTTTATCATAAAATAATTAAATTCGATTTTTGACATTTGACAGTTTCTAACCTAACTTTTTCAGTGTTTAACCTTAATAAGTCATGTTTGGTATTGAATTAAAGCATTCTTGATTCTTGTTAATATTATTTCAATATTTATCAATTAATTTGATTTTGACATTTGACAGTTTCTAACAACTTTTTCATTCTTCAACCTAAATAGGTCGTATTTAGTATCAAATTAAAGCATATTTCTTGCTTATTAAGATTATAATAACATCTATCAAAAAATAATTAAATTCGATTTTGACATTTAACAGTTATTAACTTTTTTCAGTTTTTGACCCATACAGATCATGTTTTAAATAGTCTTCAGCCAGTAGTATTGTAATTTCCAAGCACTTAGTAGTGTTTTGGCAGCAGTATATAGTCTTCTGAAAGCATTAAATAGTCTTTGCCAACAATATCTAGCTTTCTCCAACCAATTACTAGTCTTTCCAACAATATTTAGCATTCTGAAACTAGTTAATAGTCTTTTGAAAACAGTATCTTGTTTTTCCAAGCAGATAATAGTTTCTCCCAGCAGTATTTAGTCTTCTCCAAGCAGGTCATAATCTTTTCTAGTAGTATATAGCGCTCTGAAAGCAGTAAGTAGTCTTATGGAAGCAGTATCTCATCTTTCCAATAAGTTTGTAGTTGTTTGTTAGCACTATCTAGTCTTCTCCAACCAGATTGTAATGTTTTCCACTAGTATCTAGCATTTTGGAAGCAGTAGGTACCTTTTTTGGAGAGCATATCTCTGCTTTCCAAGTAGTTATTACTCTTTTCCAGTAGTATTTAACATTCTGGAAACATTAGGTAGCTTTTTGGGAAGCATATCTCTTCTTTCCAAGCAGTTATTAGTCTTTTCCAGCAGTAACTAACATTCTGGAAGCAGTAGGTAGCTTTTTGGGAAGCTACCTAAGTAGTCTTGGAAGCAGTATTCCGTCTGTCTAAGTAGGTCAAAACCTTTAACAGTAGTGTTTAAGGTTCTGGAAGGTAGGTATTATTTTGAAAACAGTATCTAGTCTTTTCCAAGTAAGTTGTGGTCTTTTTCTGCAGTATCTAGCATTTTTAAAGCAGTAGGTAACTTTTTGAAATAGTATTTACTCTGAAGACGCACGGCTAAACCCAAATGTCTCTAGGTTTAATGTTAGTTCTAGTGACAGTGCAAGTGTAAAACTAGAACTAACACTATACCTTAAAATTTGATAAAAATCTGAAAAACAATCAAAAATGCTTTAATTTGATACCCAACAACCCATATTTTGGATTAAACAACATAATCTCAAAAATGACATTGACAGTCGCCATCTTTAAGTTTATTATTTTTTTTGAAATTCTTCATTAAAGTTAAATTTTGTTAAAAATCACAAAAATTCTTTAATTTTATACCCATATTAATTCAAAGAAATAACACAAATCCGCCATTTTTTTTTTTAATTAATTTTTTAAAACTTAATAATATTAAAATCGTAATAAGCACGAAAAATCGTTTAATTTGATACCCAACAACCTATATTTTGGGTTAAATAACAACATTAAAAATGACATTGACAGCCGCCATCTTGGATATTATTTTTTTTTTAATTTTACATATCTCCGAGATTAATTGAGATACACCTATCGTGTTTGGACTTAAATTACTCGGATTTTAATTTTAAATCGATTAGAGATAATTCCTACTAAATTTTTTGAAAAATTAAAAAATGAATTCGAAAATTAAGGAAGCCGAAATCTTTTAATTTCATAAAAACGCAAAGACAATTAAAAATCCTTTCAAACGAGTGCAAACTCGATGGGGTTATCTCAAAAAACACCCGAGATATTTAGCGTTAAACATAACCTCAAATTTATTAATTTTTGTTGTATCTTCGTCGTTTTTTGAGATAACCCCATCGAGTTTGGACTCATTTCAAATGATTTTTTATGATTATTAAGAATGCATAAAGATGGCGTCATTAACCGGAAGTTGCACATCTCGGTTGTTTTTAAAGATAAATATGTCGTGTTTGTACTCGTTTTAAAGGAAATTTTATGTTTTAAATTTAATTTTTTATTAATTATTTTTTTTTATTAATCTATTAGTGCTATATACTGAATATTCTTACCAAAATGATGTGGATCAACTTGGGTAGAAGTTGAAGCACTTCTTGGTCTCTTTTGTGGCGAACCAACGTTGGCAGTACTTTTAGAATCGCCGGCCCCTTCAAGAGTATTCAAAGGCAAACTAATCCTCCTTTTAATTTCTTCCGTTGGTTTTTTATTGGGCGAAATAGTTTCGCCTTTTACAACAGGCGTTGCTTCTTCGTCGCGTTTTTCGTCGGTTTCCGCCGAAGTAGTAGTTACAGTAGTAAAATGACTAGGATCACAGATTTGCGAGATAGTCGGAATATTATCGGACGATTTCACCTCCGAATCCGACGTTTCGCTAACCTCGCTATTTACAACGATGTTTGCATCTAGACTAGTATCGTTGGACGGCTCTAATTCTACTGACACAGCACTAGTATCAATTAATTTTTTATCAATTAAATCATTATTAATTAATTCTTTTTCGATTAATTCTGTATCAATTAATTTTGTTTCAATAATTGGCACATCATCAGGAACTAATCCTGTTTTTTCATCGTTTTTAATTTCTTTTTTCTCATCACTATTATTATTTACATTTACAATTTCTTTAGGAGCTACGTTTAAATCAGTTGAGGTATTTTCTTCATTACTTGAGCATACATTTTCACTTTTTTCATCAACTTTATTTACAATTTTTTCGTTTTCTTCAACATTTTCAGTTTCATTTTTTATTTCATCCTTATTTATTGTTTCTTTATTTAATTCGTCCAATTTTGTTTCAACATCTTCTTCTTTACGCTCGGATTCGCTTAATTCCGTCGGTGTTAAATACCTTTCTGATAAATCGCTTTCCTTTTCTGGACTTGTTGGAGATGTATCTGTATCAGCAATATCAGAAGAAGGTTGTGGTAATTCTATGTTACTATCATGTTTTGGACTACTATAAGTTGAAGAAACTTTCGAGTCTAAATCTTCTTTAGTACTAAACACTTCATCATCTTCTTTTGAATCATCTTTTGAATCATCTTTCATTTCATCTTTAATTTCATCATTATTAACATCATCTTTAATTACATTTGTAATTTCACTTTTTGATTCATCTTCACTAATTTCTTCGTTATTTTCCTTTTTAATTTCGTCCTCAATTCTGTTAATTGGAGATGGTGTATCATTCATTTCCAACTCATTTTCTTCCAATAATTTCTCTGATTTCGTAATAATATCTTGTACGATCCCGTTAATTAATTCTTCTTTTGATTCTTCGTCGATTAAATCGTTTTTCGTGGGACTCCCCCCAAAACTAGAACTACTCTCTGTGTGTATTCCGTTACAAACGGGTGATTCCGTAATTTGAGACTTTAGCGGCGAATCTTGCGAAAACGGCGATTCCTTTCCGATTTTCACGTCACTATATAAATCACTAGTCCTTGAATCTAAAGATACACCTTCACTGTCGTCGCGTTTCGTGATGAAAGAGGCCGGGCTTCCTTCTGATGTTGGTGAATTAAAATCGCAATTACAAACTGGGTCCGATTTTTCGATCTCTCGCAACGACGCCGTGTTTTGCCATTGAGTTTCTTGGTGGTAGCCGTTTTGAACTACAGTTTCTTGTTGTTGATCCCAACCGGAAATTGTACTTATTGGGCGTTGTTGTCTTACTAAAGGATCGGTTATGTTGTCGGTTCTTTGGCGCTCGTAATGTTCGTACATTTGGGAGAATTGCAGCTTAAATTCTTCGTAAGAAACCTAAACGTTAAAATTAAGTTATTTAAGTTTAAATTTAATTAATCATTTGATTAACCTTTGAATGAACTATAGCTAAGGTGTCAACCCAAACTCTCCATCCCCCATATTCGTATTTAATCGCGTGGTGGAGAAGCATTCGAAATAGTGAGTAAACCATGTCGGAAATTTTTTGCTCCTCAGTGTTTTTGGGGTGGATATAAGCCATTGCGATGAGCCATTCTTGCCACACGGACATTTGTAGGACAGTTCTTCTATTTTCTCGGTTATTATTACATAGTAAGGTCATATCAGATAAAAACAATTTCTTCACATCCAATAATTGCTCGCTTTGTTTCGATTGCCTTATTAAGGTGGCAACAACTTTTAAAATCACTACAAAAATAGAAAAAATTAAATTATAGGGCACATAATGAGGGCTATTACTCACTAAGGTTAAGTTATTCACTAAGGCATAATTAACCTAAGTGAATAATAGCTCATTATATGTGAGTAAAATACTATACTTTGTCCACGACTTGAAATTGATTCCATAAATTTATTTTTTAAATAAATTTTTGAATAAAGTTTAAACGTCAAATGTGACAAATTCAATGTTACTAACTGTAACCAACTTCACAACAATTTGTCAAAATAAATGTCAATTTTATAAAACGTCGTTTTCTTTACGAAAATTAATTAGTTTATGCTTAAATCATACGAAAAAAGGAATTTCGTTTAGGTTTTTTAATGTCAAACATTTAGAAACTCTTAAAAAATTGAATTAAATTGAACAAAAACTTCGTACTAAAAATGGAACGAATGTGGCGCCATCTGTTGGGGATATTTTGGAATTATTCAGCTAAGAACCGAACCACTACAATACAGGTTGGATCGGGTTTATATACAGGGGTTTATATACACATTAATTTTTTTTTCTCAAAAACCATAAACGCTAGGAAAATGAAATTTGGGGAATATGTTCAACTCATAATAGGGCACGTTTTGACTCTATTTGTACTTTCAACCTACCCTTCTAAACTACTAAACGTAACCACCCCCGTTCAATTTATGCCTAGATTTTTTCTCGCAAAAAAAACTTTCGTTCTCGAATGCAAAAGTGTCATTTCGCTATCTTGTTTCAAAAATAACTATATTTTTAGATCTAAAAGCTTAATTAAACTTCAAAAAAACTTATTTCGTTAAGATCGAATCATTTTTTCTTTATAATCCGCGATTCTATTCTTATCATTATCGAATTTAATTAATCCAACATCGTATTCGTGATCTACATTAAATTCTCTTTAAAACGAGCCCAAACTCGATGGGGTTATCTTAAAAGATAACAAACTTCTGATTGTCACTTTTTTGAGGTTATGTCAAAATTAAATGTGGGATATCTCGGGTGTTTTTTAAGATAATCGAGTCGAGTTTGGACTCGATTTAAGGGATTTTTAATTCCCCACCCGATTATGAATAAAAAAAGAACCTAACCTCATTTTGTAAACGTCAAATTGATATTATTTGATATTTTCCGCCATCTTGATTAATAATTTTAATTAAATAATATCGAAATTCAATATTTTTACTTAAAAATCCCTCGCGAACTTAATTTCGTTCAAATCGTATCATTTTTCATTGAATTATCCGCCATTTTGTTTTTATTTTGACAGAACTTAATTAAATCAGCATCGTATTCGTAATCTATATTAAATTCTCTTTAAAACGAGCCCAAACTCGGTCGAGTTATCTTAAAAGACAACAAATTTCCGATTGTCACTTTTTTGAGGTTATGTCAAAATTAAATGTGGGATATCTCGGGTGTTTTTTAAGATAATCGAGTCGAGTTTGGACTCGATTTGAAGCATTTTTAATTCTCCCCACGGTCATGAATAAATAAAAAACTTAACCTAACTTTATAAACGTCAAATTAATAGTATTTGATATTTTCCGCCATCTTGATTAATAATTTTAATTAAATAATAGCGAAATTCTATATTTTAACTTAAAAGTCCCCCGCGAACTTAATTTCGTTCAAATCGTATCATTTTTTATTGAATTATCCGCCATTTTGTCTTTATTTTGACAGAATTTAATTAAATCAACATCGTATTCGTAATCTATATTAAATTCTCTTTAAAACGAGCCCAAACTCGGTCGAGTTATCTTAAAAGACAACAAATTTCCGATTGTCACTTTTTTGAGGTTATGTCAAAATTAAATGTGGGATATCTCGGGTGTTTTTTAAGATAATTGGGTCGTGTTTGGACTCGATTTAAGGGATTTTTAATTCCCCACCGATTATGAATAAAAAAAGAACCTAACCTCACTTTGGAAACGTCAAATTGATATTTTCCGCCATCTTGATTAATAATTTTAATTTAATAATAATAAAATTCTTTATTTCTAGATCTAAAAATACCGGGCGAATTTAATTTCGTTGAAATCGAATCATTTTTCTTAAATCATCTTCCATTTTGTTTTTATTACTATCGAATTTGATTAATCTAACATCGTATTCGTAATCTACATTAAATTCCCTTTAAAATGAGCCTAAACTCGGTCGAGTTATCTTAAAAAAACAACATACACCACCAACTTCCGGTTGTCACTTTTTTGAGGTTATGTCAAAATTAAATGTGGGATATCTCGGGTGTTTTTTAAGATAATTGGGTCGTGTTTGGACTCAAATTGAAGGATTTTTAATTTCCCACGTGATTATGCACAAAAATAAAACCTAACCTCACTTTGTAAACGTCAAATTAATTTTATTCGGTATTATTCGTCATTGTAACGCAACGTTTTGTTTTTATTTGTGTTTATTGACTTATTTTTTCAGTAAAAGTCAAATTATTTATTACCAACCATAAAAAGTTATGACAATTTTCGTTTTTTAAATGGAAACAACCACTGATTATTCGCTTATTAAATTCGTTATTTTTTCTGATTATAAAAGTATGGGGTTAGATAGATGTATTTGTTATTGTTTTAGAATAAAGCTAAAAATAAACTTTTTTTAGTGTCGTCAAAGTAATTAAATTTACAGTTTCCTATAAATTACGGAACTATAACTAAAAATTATTCCACTAAAAATTTATATAAAATTTACTTTATTTTCTAATATGTAACATTCTAACATGTTAAACCCAAATCTTACTGCTATTTTTGCAACGCCAAAGGGGACAAGACGGCATTATTTTTGGAAATAAGTGGTAACATGCACTGACAAGCTGTCAAACCGCCATCTATCAATAATTTATTAAGTCATTTAATAATAATATTAAATATTAATAAAAAATGTGAAATAATGCAATCTATTCCAACTTTTGTGTAAAACAAATACAAATTAAATAGTTCAACAAATGTATTTGTTTCAAATATCAGAAATATGTTTGTTTTTTAATTTTTAGTTATAATTTACAGGAAACTGTAAATTTAATTTATTTGACGACACTAAAAAAGTTTATTTTTAGCTTTATTCTAAAACAATAAGAAATAAACCTGTCAAACCCTTTTTTGCCCCAAACTGTTTTTCTAGCTCTCGTTGGATAACCTTATAACCAATACTCAAGTCAATGTGACACAAATTCAATGTTACCAATCTGTCAAAATTAAATGTCAATTTTATGAAACGTCGTTTTTTCACGAAAATTAATTAATTTATGTTTAAGTCATACGAAAAAAAGAAACTTTTATACGCTTTTTAATGTTAAACATTTAGAAAGTCCTAAAAAAATTGAATTAAATTGAAGTTTTTGAAATTTTGACGTTTCAAATAATTATTAGTCTGTCAAATTAATACTCATTAAGAAGGTAGTCGTGGACAAAATATTAATCAAATCATTAAATAATAATTACTTGGATTTTCTAATCTGCTATGACTCTCCGGTTCTGGATGTTTGGTATAAAGTATCTGTTGGCTAATATGTTCGGTCATAATCTCATAAAGAACGTTGTAAGTTGGCATGGAAAGGATGTCTTCGTTTAAAAGCAACCTTTCCGCGAGTAAAGTGTACAGATTGTGGGGACTCATCACGTCGTACTTCCGTTTGTGGGTGCTTCTGCTTAGAAAAAATCCTAATAGCTTAAGTGCTTGAAGTCGAATCAATTGACTTTCAGATGCTAGCAGTTTGAATATCGTTCGGATGCCATGCTTGCAATCGAAAGCGGGCACCATGGAAGACGGGTGCTCGGACATTAGCGAGATAAGCATTTGCAAGACATCATGCAGGTTTTCATCCTGGAAGAGTTTGGTTAATTTTTGTGAATGAAAAGTTAATAAGAGTTAAATGAATTTAGACCCACCTCGTGCATCGTTGTTAAGTAATTCAAAATGCTTTGAAGTTCATCATCTTTCATTCCATTTCCAATCATAATTAATTGCTTCAAAAATAGCAAGATGTAAGCTCGAATCGCCAAGATATCCTTTTGGGCTGGCCTAGGTCCATCTATTTCACCAAAAAACCAATAAATTTAAATAATTTGAAAATGCACACAATAATTACCCAATCCTTTAGGGGTTATCCCACTCTTCGCTCGAGGATTAACCACCCAATAATAATACTTTAAAGTATGCACTGTTTGAAGAACTGTAGAAACTCGCCTAACATTCGAATAAATTTGAGTGTCAGATAAAAACTCCGTCGCCAAATACGAGTAGAGTTTCGATTGGACCGAAGCTGGCGTGTAGATCCATAACGCTGGGTTGAAGAGGACATGATCCAACAACTGCCATGTCAGAAACGAGAAGCAGAACAACTAAATCAAAATGGATTAAACTGCTCCCGTACTTACCCAAAAACATCATTTTTATAATTAGTAATAAAGTTCGCGTCGCGACGTGATGATTAATTAATAAAAGACGAAAAAGCGAATGCCAAAAAGTATTTTAATTATTAAAGAAAAAAATAACATGCTTGGATAAGTACTGGTTTATTTTTTTTTTCAAATCGTAATTATTTCTCTTTAAATCAAATTAGATCAAAAAAGGAAGCTTTAACTCTTTCATGAATGTGATAATAATTAATATAATATATTATGGTGCAATAAATATCTTAGAAATCACCTAAAACATGATTTTAAATAATTAAATTAATAAAATAATGATGCTTCAACACTATTTAATGTTTAATAAAAGCTTTATAATGCATGCTTAAACTCAATAATTGAAGTAAATTTAAATTTAATAACTACGAATATCATTAATTTTTAATTCCACTAAAAAATTTATAAATTTTATTTTAAAACATGCAATCCAGCCTCTATCCAGCGATTTGCAACTAAAAAATAAAAATACCACCCGTTTCAGCGAACAACTGTAAGAAAACTGTACACTTACAATAATAAACACCTCACTAAAAATCTATTTACATCTCTTTAACCTCAAGAAAATATTTATAAAAAAAATCACGTGTTTAACAAAAAATAACATCAATAATCTATTTTTTTTTATGTACAAAAATTTCTGTTACTACCATAAAAAAATGTGTTTTCAAAAAAATTACCTGTTTAAGAAGTAATTCGCTGTTGGCACTCAAACAAGTAACCAGATGTTTTGTTAAGCTTAGAAATGATCCTAAAACGTCGATGGTTAAATGATCCCTCGAAGATCGTTGTAGCATAAAGCTGATCACTAAGAATCCTCGATTTTGGATCATGTGTTGTTGTACGGTTTGTGATGTTTCAACCAATTCGCAAATAAATCCCAATAATTTTGAACTAAAAATAAAAAAAAAATTTTTTTAAAACGAACTTTAACATATCTTAAAATCGATTCTATATAAACGTCTTATAAAACTTCTATTATATAATAACTAATTTCAGGTTTAAAATGTTAACGTTAATTTTGACATATTTGTAATCTTCATTAAAAATCCTTTAAAATGAGTACAAACACGACATATTTATCTTCAATATTAATGAAGTTATGGTTAACTTCCGGTTAAGAATGTCAACGTCAATTTTGACATATTTGCAATCGTCGTGAAAAATTCTTTAAAATGAGTCCAAACAAGATACGTTTAATTCCAATATTACTCGAGATATAAGAACTTCCGGTTTGACATGTCAATGTCATTTTGACATATTCTTAATTTTTAAAAAATGTCTTAATATTTGTCACAAAAATAAAAATATAATAAAAAAAAATTAAATTAAGGTTGGTATTAATATTTAAAAATTAAATTGCTATCTTCATTGTTGCTAACTTCGGGTTTAATGGTTTTTTATTCTAACTTTTTTGTTTTTTGAGATAAGTGCGTCATCTTTGGACTCATTTTAAAGGTTTTTTAATGAAGATGACAAATATGTCAAAATTGACGTTGACGTTTCAAACCGGAAGTGATTGTATTTCCATTAATATTAAAGTTAAATATGTCGAGTTTGGACTCATTTTAAAGGATTTTTTATGAAGTTGACAAATATGTCAAAATTAAAAGTTAAAAGTTCGAACTATTTGGTTTTTTGAGATAAATACGTCAAGTTTGGACTCACTTTAAAGGTTATTTTATGAAGATTACGAATATAATAATAAAATTAAAGTTGACATTGACAACTGAAACTTTTTGTCACGACTACACCCGAATGTTTCTTGTTCTAAGTCTTGTGTTAGTTCTAGTGATAGTGTTAGTTCTATATAGTAACAATGCTAGACTAGAACTAATACTATACCTAGAACTAGAATCATTCGGATTTAGCCGTCTTTAGAGACGTGCGGCTAAACCCATATGATTCTTGTTCTAGATATAGTGTTAGTTTTACATAGTAACAGTGTTAGTGTAAAACNGTTCTATATAGTAACAATGCTAGACTAGAACTAATACTATACCTAGAACTAGAATCATTCGGATTTAGCCGTCTTTAGAGACGTGCGGCTAAACCCATATGATTCTTGTTCTAGATATAGTGTTAGTTTTACATAGTAACAGTGTTAGTGTAAAACTAGAATTAACACTAGACCTAGAACTAGAAACGATTGGGTTTAGCCGCACGTCTTTTAAGATGGCACTGGCTTTTGCTAGTTTTGCAAATTTTGAAGAAATAGCTCATCTCTCTTATGACCTTTAGAAAAACCTTTAATGCTCTTTAGAAAAACAGATTTGAGTATCATCTGATTGAGTTAGGTTGGCTTTGTTGTCCGAAACATTAATCAAAGTGAAATGACCAAAAAAACACGTTAAAAATAAAAAGAATAGTTATAAAACTTCTATTATATGATAACTAACTTCAGGTTTACAATGTCAACCTTAATTTTGACATATTTGTAATCGTCATTAAAAATCCTTTAAAATGAGTACAAACACGACATATTTATCTTCAATATTAATGAAGTTATGGTCAACTTCCGGTTAAGAATGTCAACGTCATTTTGACATATTTGCAATCGTAGTGAAAAATCCTTTAAAATGAATCCAAACAAGATACGTTTAATTCCAATATTACTCGAGATATAAGAACTTCCGGTTTGAAATGTCAATGTCATTTTGACATATTCTAAAATTTTAAAAAATGTCTTAATATTTGTCACAAAAATAAAAATATAATGAAAAAAAAAATTAAATTAAGGTTGGTACTAATATTTAAAAATTAAATTACTATCTTCATTGTTGCTAACTTCGGGTTTAATGGTTTTTTATTGTAACTTTTTTGTTTTTTGAGATAAGTGCGTCATCTTTGGACTCATTTTAAAGGGTTTTTAATGAAGATGACAAATACGTCAAAATTGACGTTGACGTTTCGAACCGGAAGTGATTTTATTTCCATTAATATTAAAGTTAAATATGTCGAGTTTGGACTCATTTTAACGGGTTTTTTATGAAGTTGACAAATATGTCAAAATTAAAAGTTAAAAGTTCGAACTATTTGGTTTTTTGAGATAAATACGTCAAGTTTGGACTCACTTTAAAGGTTATTTTATGAAGATTACGAATATAATAATAAAATTAAAGTTGACATTGACAACTGAAAGTTTTTGTCACGACTACACCCGAATGTTTCTTGTTCTAAGTCTTGTGTTAGTTCTAGTGATAGTGTTAGTGTAAAACTAGAACTAACACTATACCTAGAACTAGAATCATTTGGGTTTAGCCGCACGTCTCTAAAGACGGCTAAACCCAAATGATTCTAGTTCTAGGTAT